GCAATTGGCTTCTTGTTTCTTGGAGGTGGAATGCGGACATTTTCAACAAGCAACACTTCCATTGCTGCTTTGCTCATTACTCTTTACCCACGGTTACCTACTGGCCCAAATGATAATCGTTGCCACCTACAGGTAAATTAGATCATAAGAACCACTTTCCAAGTAAAATTTTCATTGATCATATAAGCTAATTAGTGCTACGGAGGTTGATTATTACTGTGCATCTGACTGTCATTTTCATAGACGTAGATCTAATGCATGATACTCTAACGTAATATCTGATGAATATCACATGCACATAATTCAATCAATAGTAGGGGATTGGCAATGCTTAAACAGTGCAAAACTGAGGGAGAAGTCCATTAACACTCGATCCAGTCTTGCTTTATGATAAAATGCCATTCTAATTTCTACACAATCTTAGGCCTTCTCCTAGTCTTCCTTCACTGCCATGATAGTACTATCACTGCTATGACAGCCTGCTTTAGACCTTCACTGATAAAGGCTCTTCACACGATTTGCTAAGACTTTCAAAACAGTCTTGTAATTTATGGCACACAAGGATGATGGCCAGAAATGTATGAATAGATATCTTGATTTTTGATACCACAGCATTCCTTGTTTCAGAATAGGTAGAAACAACTCTGAATAGTTCAAGAGTTTATAAGGGTCCTGGTGATGTAAACAGAAATGATGGCTGAGGTTTAATTTCAATTGAAAACTCGTAATTTTAAGCTTGCAGCTTGTGATTGATGTCTTATTTTACATTTGAAATGTTTGTTTAAGGCTTAATTTTCATTTTACATTTTTCCGTTTTCTACTAATTGGTTGCACACACAAACCACACTGATACTGTTACAGGCATCTTAAAATTTTAGACGTTATCATAGCTTGCATGTCAAATTGGTTAGTGCCCATTCAGTGCTCCTTAGTATGATTTAAAAACTTGTTTATTTACTCAATTCTTACTGCACATGTCTCCTTTTCTATAAAGCGTGGTCTTTAATTTTGAAGTAAGGAGGTCGTTATAATATGTGTAGGCTTAGGGGACTTGTTGTAATTTACATTTTTTTTTCGGCAGGCATTTCGCCATCTATATGTCCTTGCAACTGAGGCACGCTGGATTCAGACAGTTGATGTTGACACTGGTTTGCCTGTTTATGCTCCTCTTGAGGTCACAATCAGAGAAACTGAACATTATGCAGAATCAAGTTTTAGTGCGGTTACTCCTTGCCTTCTTCCAGAACGTTCTATTGTAAGTTTGAAAGATCTTTGAGTGAAACAATGTGGGATGCGGCAGTCTCTCTTGTGTTTATATTCCTTCTTCCTTGAAATCTTCCGTTTCAAAGAACAATCCAGTACACTGGTCTTGGAATTAATCTTTCTTTCTGTTGCACTAGAGAGATGCAATTGTGTATCTAAGTATTTTGGGGATTATGCTTTGATGGTTACAGTTGAAAAGAATTCATGTTTGTGGGCCCCGCTACTGGCCTCAACGAATAGACTTTGCCCCTGAAGGTGAACATTTATACTGTTCTGTTACTGTATTCTTTGTTCGGAGGTGTTTTCTGCCATATTATCTTAAATGAATAACCCAATGCTGTCCATTTGGTAACAGATAAGCCTTGGTGGAATTTTGGTGACAATGACTATCCATTCAATTCTGGTGTTTTGTATATCAAACGAAAAGTTGGAGCCTGTTCATATGTTGATGATCCAATTGGGTGCCAGTCACTTCTTTCCCGGGCACTGCACAAGGTTAGAAGCGGATAAAGTTATTCTATTATGTTTGTAAGTTTACTATAGTGTTAGAGAGAATTTAATCCCCCCCCCTCTCTAATCTAGGTGTTTGGTTCAACAAGTATGAAGGCATTTGATCCGACTACTGACAGTCATAGCGAACCTGGTTCTGTTACAGTTGACCAGTTGGTCAGTACCTTCTCATCTGATCCTAGTTTGATAGCTTTTGCACAGCTATGCTGTGACCCTTCCTGGTATAATAGGTGAGCTCCTACATCTAAATCATTCTGTCTAATTTACAAGTTTCTTAAATACTATATTTTATAGATGTAGTACCTGGTTACGGATAACAAATTGATGTTTTTATTAAAATAAAATGGTGCAATGAGACAAACATAGATCCTAATAGTAGATATAGATGAAGGCTGTTCTGTTTCTCTGACTGTTCAACCGTATTTTATATTCCAATTCTATACGATGTCCTTTATTTTGGATAGCATTCTAAAATTCCCTTGCAGGTCTGATCTTGATTTCCAGGAATTTTGCTTGCAAGTATTATTTGAGTGTGTTAGCAAGGATAGACCGGCTCTTTTACAGGTAGGAGAATTCTGGGGGGATGGGCTGTTTTGTATTTGAAGTTCAAATGATGATGATGCAATTTAGTGTCTTCGATGCTGGTTGCGTTACCTAAGATCTTATATTCCTTATACTGCTTATTTCGTTGTGATTCGCATGGAAAGTTTTGAATTCAGACATATTTGTAATGTCTTTTCAAACTAACGTGCATACATGCTTTTCATATTCATAAATAAATGTGATGATGCTGTGCAGGTATATTTGTCATTATACACTACAATTGGATCAATGGTTGATCAGGTTGCTACGGGCACTATTGTTTTTGGTGACTCGCTCCCTATATCTGGTTTCAAGGTAAGTTTCTCTTACAGACCTTTAGTGCTAAACCATAGACATCTACACTAAGTTACAGCTTTCTATAGCCGTTTATTTATATTTCCCTTTTCTTGGTGATATGATTCAAAATGGGTGGAGCTGGAGACGCTCTCCCCTTCCAGTAGTCATATTTCACCCGGGATGAGTTGTGATTGATCCTTTCTGTCAGATTAAAGTTTCACTCCTTCATTCTAGCAAAATAGCGATTTTATAATCAGGTGCTAATTTATGCTGCAGATTGCTCTTACTTATATTGAGGCATCAATGACCGGAAAATTATCTGGTCCAAGGGGAGGAATTGTCCAACCGGTCTTTGTGGCTTCTCTCAAGAAGCAGGTGGAAAAACTCCTAAATTGTTCCCAGGATCTGAAGGATGATTTTCATAATTATGTGAAGTCGGGGAAGTGGCCTGATGGGGAATCCCAAGAGAAACGTTCCATACTTCTTTCTTGGTTCCTCCAGTGGTTTGGTGTACCTCCTTCATCCGTAATCCAGACAGCTATAGAGAGTGTCAAGCCGAAGCTTACGCTGTCTTCAGTTCCGTTGTTGCGTCTGTTCTTTCCAAGCACTCCTATCAATGTTGTTAATGAGATCGATAGGTGTTTGTCCTGCTCTTAGGCCAAGCATTTGTTTCATTGTGATGCATGTTAAGTTTTCGGCTAATCAATATATTAATATTTAACCAAATCATTTCTACCTTGTAGCCTTTTATTGAATCTTTTTTCAGCAATTATTTAATAAAATTTCAAAATCTAAAAGCAAAATTCTCTTACAATATTTATTATTGAATGAATGAGAGTTTTACCAAATGGCATTCATTTGTTTACAAAACTAGGGGAACCGATGCAGAAACTATACTTTACCAAACTACTAGGACGCATGCTGTGAGGTATAATTTTATGGGCTTTTAAAACATAAGCTGTTGCCGTTTCACATGTGCACTCGGTTATTTTTTGTTTTGATACCCAAAAAACTGTTTTTGCGCAGTCAGATAATTTTATTTTATTTTTAGTTATTTTGCATACAGTAAAATTATTTTTAATATACTGTAAAATCATTTTTAAAAAACTAATACAAATATGATTTTTTTTTAAGATACATGTAGATACAGATAATTCAAGTCAGAACAGCCATTATAGTTTTTCCATTATTCTTATGTAATTTTCTGATTTTATTTATAGGGCATATTTAATATGTTTGATATAGACAAAAAAATCTTAAACTATACTAACTTTTTATTAAAATATAATATCTTTTTAATTTTATTCCTATTTAATACATGTACTTTTAAAAAATAACTATCTACACTAATAAATGAAAGCAAAATAATATACTTATACTAAAAATTTAATAACGTGATTCATAAATAAGACTAAGAAAAGTTTTTCTTTGTGTTATAAATAAGCCAGGAGTATTTGCTATTAATTGGCGCCAAAACACTCTAGCATGGAAACACGGTAAATTATATTGTTCACCGTCCATCTTTGAAATTTCATTCATGAATCGAGAGTGGTAATCATAAATTTCGTATGTCGCACTTATGATTTTTATTTTGGGATTAAACCTATCTGAGTTTTTTATATTTTTAATGAGTTTTGATATTAGTTTCTATATTTTTTTGTTTTTCATTCATATATTTTAAGTCTTCTAAAACTTTGATCTTATAAGTTTAATTGTGTTAACTTCGTTAATATGGCAATAATATTGTTGAGTAGGATTGATGTGTGCTTACTTGCAGAGATCAAAATCAAATCTTATTTAAAATATAGAAATTAAAACCAAAACTTATTAGAATTATTTTAAATGCACAAGGAAATATCTTTTGAAACTATTGTCAGCCTAAAATTGTGAAATGGAAGTGGCAATGGGAAATATCTTGTGTTATTTACAAGTTTTTGTTTAAAAAATTGTCTGGAATTTCAACCCGTCCTCATTAGAGAAGTTGCCGGTGATGACAGGGCTGCTACGGGAAAAGTTGCCGGTGACTGATGCTAATGGTAGCAGTGGAGAAGGGTGGGAGAGGTGGCATTTTCATGATGATACATTTTATATTTTTTGGGGAAAAAAAACCCTGATCCTCGACAATAATTTCCAAAATTTGAGATTCATCCCAGTAATTAATTTCATTCTATTGTCTTTATTTGCCGTTTCCCCTGTAAGCTAGGAATACTTATCTTTCGTATTTGTTGAAATGTATGAGGTGATGTATTTACCGTAATACCATTGAAAATATATTTTGATCAAAAAATGTGATGTGAGAGAGAGAGAGACACACACAGAAAGAGAAGCTTAAATATAATTTTTTTTTCTTTGTTTTTTTTTTTTATACAATTGAGTGGTGATTGCACCGTGTAACAGAAAACTTCATCTGTAACAAAAGAAAACTAAGAGAACAGAAAAGGGCGGGAAGTTGAGAGGCAAAACGAAAGGGGAGTTGTAGAAGGAGAAAGAAGAAAGAGAAAGAAAAATGTACGGAGAAAGGAGGATTGAGGGAAGTCAAGATAGAGAGAGAATACGGGTATAAAGGAACTCATTCCAGGTATCGGGTAAACCGGGAAGGCACCAATGGATACAATCGGCGAAAGTAGCCGGGTTGGACTGTTGCTCCGGCGTCAAAATCTTGCCTTGGCGGATGGTATAGACGGAAGTATGCGCATCTTTCCGATATTCCGACAAGGTAGTGATGTTGAGGAAGTTCACTCCCACCTTCATGCTCCGCGTCACGTTCTGAGCGATCACCAACAGTCCACGATCCGTCCCCAAGTTCAGTGGTCTTGATATGTTCGCCACCGGCATCGTTTCCTTCGCACATTTTACTCCATCCGGGTTGCCCCAAGCCTCACTCCTACGTAACATTTCATTTCATTGCGAAGAACATTACTAATCAGTGAATAAATATCTGTATGCATGTTTCTTCCACATACATACTCATATCACTTACTTGATATGAAGAGGGGACATGCTGCTGAAGAAGACCTTGGTGCGGTTTGGATCAACGTTATCGTCCACCCATTTAGACCAAGTCCTCAGAACCCTCCCGTACGCTATTGGCCGAGGCACTTCATCGTACTCACTGGACCCTTCAGCGAAGGACCCTCGTCTGTTTTTCGATTTTTTATTTCGTCGTCCCAAGACACAAGACAGATATACAACTCAGTTTCATGTGGTGGCTAGCTTCGAAATGAAGATAGTTGAGAGAGAAAATGGGTGATATTAGAGTGATCCAGTGCTTACAATACTTTCATGAATCCGGAATTCATCCACCATATGTAGGTATTGAAGACGAGGTAGTCGACATCCCTCCAGTGCACCCCATGCTTTTCGATCGTTTCGGGCATGATTATGCGGTTCAGTATGCTGTGCATCGCCGGATCGTCTGAATTTGATTCTACCAGGAATGGGGCCCAGTAGAACTCCACTGTAGCGTTGTAGTCCTGCACACACAGACGCGGTTAGTAAATTAATCCCACGATGATGAAAGAAGAAAAAATGAATCCCTTTAAGCAACACGGCCCCACACTTTTGCCCCTCTCATACATTATTTGTCCTTTCTTAACTACCACAAAGACAAGACTGAGCGCTAATCTTCCAAAATCAGAACTTGCAAACAAAAGACGTGATGGCGTGGATTTTTAACCACCGATTTTATTATCCAATCATGTGGCCCACATTCATGGGCAGGAATGATTCTCTTAGTTTGACTTTAACTCTGATTTGACAAAAAGGTTTATAACTGAAGGTAAAAACTTCTTCACTGTGGCCATTGTCTCATGCTTGAGGAGTTCAGATGCTCTGGCATAAGCCCCGAGGAAAAGGGAATAAGATGAAGCAAACCTCAATTCTGAAGATGGTGAGAGAACCGTTCTTGCTTAAGCTTTTTCTGCCTGCAGGAATCACAGACTGAACTAGACATATTATTGATTCCCACTGGTTTCTGTTCAGTGAATCTCCAACAAACATAAGCCTCTTCCCTCCAAGCTTCTCAAGCAACAGTCTTGGCTTGAACCTTGATATGTTTACACAAATGCAATCGGTTAGAAAAATCACTAAATGAAAGTTTAAACACACACACACTAAGGAGGAAATTGGAGAAGTATTTGAGATTGGTAGGCTACTTGGGCAAAGAACAGTCTCTAGGCTGCCATCTCCAGCTCTGATACATAGAGTCAGGTCTTCCGTTCTTCATGCATGTCACTTGTGCTGTGAGGAATTCGCATTTGTCTTCTTTGTATAAAGGATGGGTCACGTTATCAAACACCCATTCCCCTGTAAACAAATCACACTCTTCTGGCGGCAATTCGACGACGTCCTCCGCTTCTTTTTCTTCTTCTGCTTTCTCTTCCTTTAAAACTGTCATTTCAGTCTTCTCCTTCCCCTCCTCCTCCACAATTGGCTTCACATCGATCGCCTCCTGGGTCTCCTCTGATTCCTGTTCTCTAAAGTTCTTGGAAACTGTGACTGTGAGAGTACCTTCTGCATCTTTCTTGGCAATCACCTGAACAGAATTAGCTGGTTTAGATTTCCCCCCGGGGATTTCTTGAACTTTGAACCTTGAGAATGGGAACTCCGCGATGGACTTAACGTCCTCACTGTACATGACCATTCCAAGGAGGAAAACGATGAAGACTGCGACAAAAATGGAGAGGCCATTGCTCTTGCGACCCTTCATTCCTAGCCCCCCTGTTTCCGAGTTGAAAAGAGGAATCTTGTGGGGGCGAAAAGGGTTCATGAGAGAAAGGACAGGCTATGGCAATGCCTTCGCAACACCGAGGCAGAGAGAGATAGAAATATAAACAAAGAGAGGAACAACATTAGCAGGTTCGAATCCAGGAAGTAGGTTGTGCAATTGTTTGTTTAATTGAGGGTTGGTGAGAGGGGGTTGTCTTGAAGAAACTGGTGGAGGGTGAAGACTTGTCTTTCTCAATTTCTCGAGTTCTCTCTGTTGTTGTTTTTTTTTTAATGCATTATAATACCACTGGGTGATAACCACTCGAAGCTCGAGAGGGAGGGAGGGAGGAGTAACCTCAAAGCCTTCAAAGTGGGTCGCAGTCTGAATCAGTCGAGAGAATGTGAAGATGGGAGCGTTATCCTGTTATGCTTCTTCGGCAGACTAGGTGTTGCTGTCTTTCAGGGTCAGATTGCAAGGCAAACTCCGGTGGGGAGAGACAAGGAGTTGCAGATAGTTCAGAGGTCAACATATATGGTCAACAAATATGTGCACACTTAGCGATAGCGAGGCAGATTAATTAATAAATAAACTAGTGGTTTCTTTTCATTAACTAACTCGGCTTTATATATATATATATATATATATCCCTCCCTTTGCTGGAATATAGAAATGGGAATCAGGGGCATTGGTGGTTGCCTGGGATTGGCACATGGTGTGGTTGCCTTCGTTGATGTTTCTGGTGAACCTTCCTTTTCTGTTGGCACTTAAAAATATCTTATGTTTTTGGCAACATCTATAAGCTGAGCTCCTGGAATTTATAATCATTGTTTTAATAATAATATAGCAAGAGAAACAATCCTTGCTTTTCACGGCATCATTAGTTGTGGGATATAAATAAATAGTACTAATTGCTAATGCACGAGAAAGATGCCTTACATGTTAAAAGAGAGGGAGATTTCCTTTTCTGTTTAATGTAAAGAAGCGCCGCTGGCCAATAATGTTTGAAGAATGACCGCCGGCATCATCTCCAGAACGTTGACCCTTCCTTAGCACCAGCCTACAACACATCATCCCCACATGTTAATTCATTTTGATCTAATTGGATCAGGAGTTTGGATCATCTCATAATCCTTTTTTCTTCTTTTCTTTTCACAATCTTATATCCACTGTTGGATTAAATAATAGATGATTCAGATTTAATATTTTAAAAAACAGATGTCCACATTTTTTCTCCTATTTATTTAATGTTATAATAATAGTTTTATAAAGTATAAAATATGAACCATTCATTATTTAATCCAATGATAAAGATGAGAAAGAAAAAGAGAAAGAAGGATTTTGAGATTTCTAAACCCTACGTACTCACAGGTTTGATATAACTAGAGTACTACAAGTAACGTACTGCAAAATTTTGCGATATGAACGCGAAGGAATTTCGGTGCGATCATTGTTACAATTTCTATTACATAAAATTTGGCGACTTAGCACCGTACAAGAAAAATACTGAGGGTTGAAAGCACAACACTTCCAACTGAGTTTCAGTCATTTTCAGATAATCAATGTCTTTGACTGTTCTTATTTTTACACAAGGTTCAAATAAAGGGGTGATTTTTACTATATATGCAAAACAAATTAGGGGCTCAGTATATTCATTGTTAATGGACTTTTGTAAGTTTAATACCTATAGACCAGCATATGTAACTCAACTCGGGAAAAAATAATACATGAAGTATATACAAGTTATTATGCATGTGTCGTTTTGCTTGATGCTGATTAGCATGAACACGTGAAAATTTTCTCTGTAAATTTCATCAGTAATGAAACCCACAATATGTTGAAGGCTAGAAATGAATATTCATGTTCATGAAGTTTTTTTTTTTTGCCAACATATTCATATTCATAAAGTAATTAAGTACAAGTCAGTGAATTGACGTGAAATTAACTAAAATTTTGTGTTGGCCGAATAACAACTAAAAGTCGATGAGTTTTATGTCAAAGATTGAATCATTGTTCTATTTAAAAAATTGATCAATAATTTACATGGAATATTTTTTTTGTCTTTAATCCAGACAAAAGGTCGTTCAAAATGAAAAGAATTCACTAACTAATCACCAATGAAACATCAAAAATGTGATCGTAATAATTGAAATTTGAGAAGAAGCAGGCAAACAGGGAGCATGCTCGTTTTATCATTTCTGATTTCACCATTCTATTGTTCTTCATGATTCTTTTTCCTTTATTTCTCTGCATAACTTTGTTCATATTGCACATACGATGTTTTAATTGTTATATATATCTATGAAGCAGCTTCTCGCCTATATATGTTGTTTTAATTAAGCAGGAAGCGTCTAGAGAATTATTGAACTCTCACTCTTACTCATTCAAACCAGTTGGTATTTGACATTGTGTATTGGTCCAAGCTACCTAAACCACAGTTGGTAAATCCTAATTAATTAACAGCAAAGCCGAAATTATTAGCAACCTTATTTTAGAATAAAGTAAAAGCTAAGGAATCTTCATTTTCTCTCTGTTACTTTTGAAACTGTAGAGTACACTAGAATCTTGTTATTATATACCTGCCCACTTCTCTTCCTATTTGGCCCCCAGATTTGATGGAAGAGCATGGCTTTTTTTCCAAGCCAAGGCAACTATACAAGAAGCTCCATCCTATACAAAGCGTAAAATCTCTAACAGATCAAATTACATATTGTATATGAGCTATAAAAGGTACTACTTATTTCTGGGACTTCATGCAATAATGCAGTGTGTTTAAAAAGAAGTAAAGGGCAACACCTATTAGTCATTGAGGCCAAAACCTGGGTTTATTCCAGTCTACATTGGTCTTTTGGAAAATGATCTTAGTTTTGGATAGTAGATAGATGGCAACATCAGTGACAGAGGAGAAACGTGGGCTTGGGACAACAGGGAACGGCCTCCACAAGAAAATATAAAACTTAAACCGCAAACAAGGATTAGAATGAAAGAATGAAGGAACTCCACTAAATAGAAAAAGGAGAAAACGAAATATGGAGCAGGTACCACCATGACATGAGCCCCTACTAACAACATTAATGTCTCGTCTCATGTCTCCACCCACCTCCATTTATTTTCAAATGTTTGACCTTTCTTTTGCCTGAACCTGGTTTGATTAGATTGTATGTATTATTAACAAAATAATTAAATCTTCTGATTAAATACTTTCTAAAACATCATAGGAAGTGAATAACTATTTTCATGTTGGCCTCAAATTAAAGGTTTTGTTTATCTGTGCTCTTCATTTTGTAAAATATATTATGAGCGGGAAAATGGATTCTCCAATGCAAAAGAATCAGAACTCAGGGTGTGTGTTCTTCTCCTCCTAAAAAAATAGGGAAGAAAATGAACATCTTATATGTATCATAATGGGAATTCTCTTGATGGAGTAGGTCAGAACTCAGAAAACGAAAACAAAACTCAAATGGTAAAAGCTAGATCCAGTGGTTGGACCAGCTGGACAACAACAGTGCGTCATTATGCGAAGTCAGAGAAAACATATCTGCTGTGGGCTCCTCATTGGTATGATCCGATACATTATGCTGTGAAGTCTTCAGATTGGTAAGCTAACCCACTCAACTAATTTCTTTTTCATTATGTTAGATTTTTCTTGTGGACTAACATAAACTATGTATGATTATTTAAGTTAAAACTCATATTTAATTATGGCCGGTAATGTAAACGAGGTTAATTTGAGCTCAAAACATGTTTGCCTGTCCCTCCCGTCCTCAATGCTCTATTATGCATCACTTTTTACTCTGCTCTCACTGTTGATTACTTGCCTTTCGTGATAAATTTTCCTAGTTATTTCCTCCCAAAAGTCCGACACTGTTATGCTTTGGCTTGATTGGCAGTTTTCAACGTAATCCGATTGAATTTGAATTTGAAATGATGACTTTCTTCACTTACTGCAACATTTTATTTAAAAATTATTCTTCAGTCCTAATTATAAGACCTCATTTATATAGACTATAAACGAGATTTTATAATTAAAACCAGAGGTAGTAATAAATAAAAACCACAAGTAATGCATTCATATAAAAAAAAATATAATGGTACGAGTTATAAATGAAAATTTAATGCAAGTTGGCCCGGAAAAAAAAAAAAAGACGACTTTTCCTTATTCAAAGTCAAAGACGAGTGCCCATATTTCAAACCGAAGACAAATGGACTGGGCAACGTCTCCAAGAAGCGGAGACCCAACACACTCATGGCTCTTCATCATTATTCTGCAGAACTGGCACCCCTTTTTCAAATCAGTTGCATGTTGATTTTGTCTATCATTTGTCCCAGGAGAATCCGCCTGAAAATTACAACGGGACCTTTGAACCACAACACGGTTTGTGTTGTCATTTTCCTTTTTGGGGTCCTTTGTTTATAGGATATGGCATAGAAGCTCTGCGCTAACGGTCATCTGTTGTGCCCTCAAGATTTTCAAGCGAGCCGAAAAGCCACCCATCATTGTTGCATGATCTTGGTTTACGAATCATTTAATTTACCTGTGTTTAACTATGACTCATCTTGGCTGAAAAAGCAGAAAACCAGAATATCAAACCAGTGCTGACAGCAAAATACCCCAAGCACTGCGCAAGAAATTGAGAACTCGACCCATATACGGTAACATAAATAGATGCTACAAATTGAATGACGTGCAACCCATATAGCGACATAATTTAATGAAATTTTTTCAAAAATAGAACAGTCTTGCTTCATCCATATTGAATGTTACTCCAAGTGTTGACCCACGAAGAAGTAGGCACTCCTAATCTGATCTAAACTAACCAAGCTGAATATACTCTATCTATGCAACGTTGAACAATAATTATCGTTCAAAATAAATAAATAGAATAAATAATAAAAATAATCAAGAGCAATTAGCTCGGCGGCGTTTGTTCATGCCACCATCTGCTACGCTTCTATGTACATTAGCCTCATCCGTAGAGGAAGCGTCTCTTTACTCAGATCATACTGCTTCTTGTAATCTCAGCAACACAACTCTCCGGAGGGCACGTCTTTAACCAACGAATGAACCCATGAGACGTCTGGTTCACCGTGTTCTGACGGAGCCATGGAAGTGGCAGGCACCCCATTATTCCTGAACACAAATGAAGCAGATTTCTTCGGCATGTGCATCTCATGTCCATTCATGCCCCAGTCCAATTTTCCATCGGGAGAACTCCAATCTGAAACAGCAGAGGACGCCCTACAGGAAGGGTGGGAAGGTGAATAAAGTCCCAGATGGTGGCTCGCTGATTCACCGCGATCAATAAAACTCTGGCTTCTCTTCGCAAAGGCAGCAGACCTGGAATTCATCACTGCTGCCGCCACAGCAGCTGATGAATCAAACCCAAATGCAGAGGATTTCCTCACCGGGGAGGAGGACATGTTGGTTGGATAGCTCGCACGAAGGGGGCTCATGTTTTGGCGCATTTGAAGGCCACCCGGAGAGTTCAGTTGACTAGGAGATGAGAGCTGTGCCGAAAGGCCGCGTAATTGAGGTGATGCAAAATGATCAACATATCCGAGAAGGTCATCAAGGTTTGTTGGGTTCAAATCACCAATCCTACCGAAGTCTTTGTTTCGTAGGGACGGGGAGGAGATTCGAGCCAATTCTTCCATCAATTGCTGCCGATGCTGGTTTGCAGGACTTTCAAGTCCCAGCAGTTCCATATCCAAATCCAAATCCCTAGCACTCAAGGTAGCCTTCAGTCGGCTGCCGGGAAGCTGCAATGATGGTGGAGTGAGATTTCTCTTGTTCTGCCACGAGCCTCCGCTGTTAGGAGGTGATGAAGCTGCTATGGGAGACATAGGCGGAGTCGAAACAGTTGGCATCGGCAAAGATGAGGAACTAAGAGCCAACGGACTCATTGATGTCATATCGAGTACACTGGCCAAGGACTTTGGAGAAGGCACAGCAGAGCCAGTAGAAGCAAAGACGGGGCGCAACTCTTCAGCTTTGTGAGCAAAGAAACAAACCTTCCTAGTGCATCCGATCTCATCCTTGCAAAGCTTTGTTCTGTATTGAGCAGGATGGAGCCAGGACTCGAATACACCGTGCGCATACTCGCAAGCATCTCCCTTCTGGCATGCGCCCTTGCGAAACTCAGGACAGGGAACGCAGCTGTAAGGATACTTACGTGGGTCCCTCCTCCTGGCATTCTCCCCAGGATGAACAAACGGACACTCGGTCCAGTCATGCGTGTAAGCCCTCGAACACGGCTTCACCTTGAAATTGTACATTCTAAACTCGTCCGTTCCATATACACCACTGTTTATGTCAGGCAATGATACATCAACGGGATATTCCTTTTTCTCAGTTCCTTCTTTTGAGGAGAAAGCAGGCACCGCAATTTTATGTTGCTCCATCTCCTGATTGATGATTTCATCTGCTTGCCCACCTCTCAGCAGCAACTCTATTGCCTTTCTCCTTGCGTTGGAGAAGGAATTGAAGGCAGGGGCAATCAGGTTAACGGGCTTATTTCCACTCGCATCAATGCAATCAACATCGGCACCAACACCAAGCAAGAGCTGAACAACCTCGAGTGAAGCGTGAGAGCCACCAACAACAGCGCAATGCAGAGCCGTGGCCCCATCAGAACCACAGGTTTTGTTCACATCAACCTTGCCAGCCTCAATTATATACTTCAACACTCTAGTACTCCCGAAAAGAGACGCAATCATGAGGGCCGTCCTCTTCTCCCAACCTATCTTCTTCGATCCAATTCTTCTCCCATACCAAGAGCTTGCCACGTCGATGTCGCGGCCCCTCTCTTCCACTTCTTTTCTGAAAGCTTCGAGATCATCCGATGCTGAGAATTCAAGCAAAACCGAAGAGGCGCAGAAGTTCCGCTTCTGAGACTTACTTTCCATGGTGTCGTTCGAGGGAGAAAGCTTACTTTTTGAAACACTGCACAAGCCCAAGTTCTGCATCATAAGACAGGATAAACTCAATAACCTCTTCTGTTGAATGCCTGCTTTTCTCACAAGGAATACATAAACCCATAGGAGACAGAAATTGGAACCAAAACTCTCCACGATATACCTAACAGAAACCTAGGGTTCTTAATAAATTCGCCTTATATCAAAAGGAAAAAATAAACCTAGGGTTCTGAATCTCCGAGGATGTCCTGCTAATATTTCTTGCATGAGTATTTTGACATCAAACCCGCAAAATAAGTAACAAGCCACGCCTATGACTTTCTTTTAGGACCTAATTTTTGTGTGACGGTCTCGACTCCCGAGTGTGAGAAATGAGAAGACAGAGAGACCAAGAAAAAACAATAAAAAAAAAAATTTCAAAGATCGACCAAGAACGAAACATGCGAGACATATATCTCAAACTTATCCAAAAAGAGAAATTGAAAACACCAGCTTAAACCAAGCGAGAATGCAAAACCTAAGCTTTATCAAGAAAACCAAATTCTTAAAAGACTAAGACTTGTTTGAAAAGGCAGCGTACCTTTGAAAATTGAACAGTGTCGAGTAGGATAGGAGTGAGTCGGGGGAATGGCTTTGAGAGGAAAATCGAGAAGGCCTCGATTGAGAAGTTGAGGAGCAAAGACGAGTGGGTTGCCCTTTTTATGTGGCGTGCCCACAGAGTCCATCGAGGAGGAAGAAGGAAGGAAAGCGTGACTTTTCTTCCGCGCTCTTTCTCTTTGGTCAAAGTCAAATATTCAAAGGCATGCCCTTTATGATACGCATTTATTTGTTGTTTATTACTCGTTCCTTTCAAACTTTTCGAAATGAAACTCAAATGCACTGGGAATGCAATTCAAAATTTCACACGGACTTCGTTTTCAATGCTTAATTCCTTTTTTTTTTTTTTGGTTTTTGGCCAACGTTTTTAATGTTTAATTCTCATTATATGCTTTTGGCTAAACAAAAAAATCTCACGAGATGCGTCTTCAATATTAATATTATCAATTTTTATCTACAAAATACAGTTACCATTTTAGAAAAAAAATATGGAGGTTATTAGATGAATGATTATAAAATAATTACACGATTTATTTTAATTAAAAATAAATTTTATTTCTCGTCATATTTTAATCAGTTATTATATAATTTGAGAAAAAAAAGCTATTTGATTTGGACATACAAAATAAGGTATTTGTTTTCTGTTAATATTATATATAATTATCTGCACGATGAATTAAGAAAATTTTAGATAATAAATAATGGGCGAAATTAAAAATTTAGGTTGGCAGAAAATATTTAAATTTAATTTTCATGTATTTACATAACTTATATCTACATCAATAAAATATAGAAAATTAAGTGAACTGTAATTTTATGTCCAAAATTAAAAATTATTTTTAACCGATATATTACAATGTATATGAATTATATTGGCCCAAAAAAAAGAATATATATGAGTTATGAAAAAGAAAAAAGAGGGCACATCATAATATAAATATGTCTAGATGAAAATTAAATTATAATTTTAAAAATAATTTTATAACATACAAAGTAAATATTTTTAAAAAAATTGTATAAACTTATATAAAAACACTTTTAAAAAACAGGTGCTTCTGAGATGTTCTAAACACTCACATAACAAAGCTGTGGAATGAAGTGAGCGGCGGGGCTAATACGGCACTTGGGGTATGGGAGTTGGGCCTCACGTGCGTGTGAGGGAATCGAAGGGTAATAATGAGTGGTCAATGGGAAGGAGTCATAGACTCAAAAGTTGAAGCGCGTGGGAGTGGATGAGATGAGCCAGCCTTCCACCAACCTCCCCACTTTCAAGATTCGACAAAAGCCACTTCAGCCAATTTATTTTCGTCCCACCCCACGAATCCAATTGCACTGCCATCGCATGGTCTGCAAACCCAAGCAAGCATTGTATAGTTAGGATAACGGAATCAACTAATTTCATTTACTGTATTAAAAAAAAAAAACTAATCCCATCTACAGAAGAAAACCATCAGGCTTCTTGAGTGGGTTCCATCGGGTAGTGGCGACAGACCTAGCCCAGCTTTTGTTTCTAGGGGCCCTGTATATATCGCTTTTGCCCTTTCTCATGGCCCATATAGCTACGACCTTTTATTTGGCCCAATAGGCCTTTAAAGAGTTCTTCTTTCCAACTACAAACGCATGAGGATTTTCTGTCCGCAGCCTTGACTTTCACAGCTCATCCCGCCAGCACCTCCGTGCTTGAATTCTCTGTCGCAAACAATAAGTACTGCCTCCGATCTTAATTATAAAACTAGTTGATTAATTTGAAGAGATTAAAGAAAAAAGTTAAGTTAGTTATTTGTAATAAATATGTATTGTCTTTCTTAAAATATCCTTACTAATCAAATGTATTGGCTAGAACTACTATTGTTAAAAGGATTATATTAAGAAAATATGCATAAATATAAGAGACAAAATAGATTGGGGTCTTATATTTAGAACTAAAATAAAATTCAAACAAAATCTTATATAAAAGACCTGAGGTAGTAATAAGTAATAACGATAATAATAATTTCGCCTCAACTTTTGAACAGAGGCTTTTAAAAAAAATTAATATTTGATTATTGACTGCAAATACTCCCTGCTAACTCAAAAACACGAAAATCACTTAAAATTTTCACTGGAGAGTTACGAACTATATATTGCTTTGTCACGTCTCACTCACTCGTTGTATTAAAATTAATATTTCTATTATTAAAAAATTCAATCTCATCTAATATATCAAGCTGTATAGCTAAACATTTTACTTATAACACGAAATTTAAGATGTTATGCTGACCCTCAAAACCACATAAAGGGCGCAAAGGGCGTTCCCCGCGAGTGGTGGGGGAGCTGGCCGATGGTGTGGTGGAATCTCTTTTCTCTTTAAGAAAAGCGTGGCACCATTCTAAAACAGCTACTCTACAAATATAAAACGCAATAACTATATATGCACGTGCTCACCAAATATTTCCCCATGCCTTTCTAATTTATTGTTGGATCTCTTTTTCATTTTTTTTTCCTTGGCATTGCCCCTGGAGTCATTTCTTTCCCTTTTGTTTGGATTCAACATTCCAATAGGAAATAGGTTGCACAGGATTATAAAGGGAAACGAGGTTGGAAGGTTAATTAGGCGCGTTTCTTTCTGTTTTATTGGCTCATCAAAAGAAACTTAAAATAGCACCACCAAATATAAAGAGCTAAAAATAAACGAAAGAATGGACGACGATAATTTCATTAGCATGAAATTAATTTCATGCTTTTTTATTAAGTGAAATTAAAATGTTAATTGGTAAGTGTTCAATGTTTATTTCAAGCCGCAATATTACCTCCAATTCTTAATATAGGAACTAGTTGAATAATTTAAGTAAATTAAAAAAATTAGTTAAGTTAGTTATTTGTATAAATAGGTGTTATCTTTCCTAAAATACCCTTGCTAATTATGCATATTAACTAGAATTATTGTTTGATGAAATATTTAACATGTGTAATTATTATAAAGACTACTTAAAGAAAGAATAAATATGAGAGACAAAATGGATTAGGATTTTAACTTTAAAACTAAATTAAATGTCAAACTAGCTCTTATATTAAAAATCAGAGATAGCATATGGATAAATTTAACTTTTATATACAAATACAAATAGTTCGGTGTTCAAAGATCGAATAATTTAAGATAATATATACCTCTATATAAGTTGTGTCTGTGTATTAATTTTGTTTTTCAAAATTCTGCAGTTGAAGGTGAGTTAATTGCTCATAGTTTATCCAATTATATAGGTATGGCTTGGTATATAAATTTTTTTTTTTGGGTACATAAGAGAACAAAACAAGAACTACGTGAGATTACAAGCCAAGTAGTCCTTTTCCACCAGTTGCTTCATAGAACTCGGACAGATATCATAATAAGCAGAGGACGAAATTCCTTGCTTGGCCAACACATCAGCCAGAGTGTTTGCTTGTCTAGCAGTAAAGCATAACCTGATCTCCCAATCATACTTTAAAAGATCACGAATTTGTAATAACAGCAGACTAGACGAACAAGGAGGGTTATCTGTAGACAAAGACTCAATCAGAGATTTAGCATCAAATTCAAGTATAACTTTCTTGAATCCAAAATCCCAAGCCAGCTTTAGACCTTCATAGATACCCCAGGCTTCCGCCTCAGAAACACGGCACAGGCCAGTCTGGAAAGAGAAACCCACGATCCAATTACCACTCTGATTTCTAATCACACCTCCGCAGCCAGCTCTATTAGATGGATTTGCAACAGCACCATCCACATTCACTTTGACCCATCCCTGTGGTATATAAATTTTGTATATTCGCTGGCTGGCTATGTAAGCATGGGGTTGAGGCTGGCTATACAAGCGGAAAGGATTTTCCACAAGTTCTTGCCAGCTCCATTCCTAAAATTCCATTTTATCCGGTCTAGTCCTTCATATCTCATGAATCTGCTCCGCATAGGAGGCTTAACAAAATGTTCCATTCTGTGCAGCTTAGCTGACACTTCTTGAACGTACAGGTGCATTGAATCTTCCCCGGCCTCCTCACCGATGCCCATCTTCATGCTGCATCATCAAGAAGCTGTCTTCTCTCTGTCTCTCATGATCAGCTTAGCAGTGTGAACTTTATCATGGAACCTGCAGCTTATTTCATTCCAGTAATTAGAGTTTTGCTCCTCAGATCAGTGCCTGCATTAATTCAAAAAACAATATGTTCTTGACGGAAAAATTACCATCATGGGACTCTCTCCAATTGTATTATAAATCTATCTGTCTCTCCACCAACGATTGGGAACCGTTTGAATCACAAGGTTTATCACTTGAGGTCATAACCGTAAACCTAGTTTAGAGATGTTCCGTGATGCATTTGGGGGCAAGAAATTCACAACTTTCTCGTACATAAAAGTTCAGAAAGGGAAGGAATGGAGGGTGGAAATTGGTGACGATAATAAAGAGGCAGCGAAACCGGAATGGAATGAAGTGGGGCAGCGAGGCAATGGATTGTCATTTTCAATCCAAATTTAATTAATCAAATCAAATGGAACGTCGCATCATCCAAGCTCTGCAACCTATTTTTGCTTCTCTTTCCCTCTTGATCGACTTCATCAACCCCAACATGCGCTTTCCTTACGCCTCTCTCTCTCTCTCCGCATTCATGTAAATTCCACGTTTCTAATTTGATGCAGTCTTCTCCACCCATTAAAAAGGTCTAATTTATTATAAAATTGGCGGTGCTGGGCTGAATTTTAATTTTGGCCGGTGAGGAGGACGCTAACGCGATTGTTTGGGAACAATGGGAGTAATTACTATGCATTAGATAGACATACAGAAATTGATGGCGATAGGTTGACATAAACATTTCAATAAACGTCATTTTCAGGCTCCACATCTGCTCACTTAGGACCGCTTTGGAATTGCGGTAGGATCGTAATTTAAGAAATATAAAGTAATTAGGTGTAAGAGAAACTTAGACTTCCACCCCTATCGTGATATCATCATTTGGACATATAAATATATATATATATATATATATATATATATATATATCCATGGATCCGCTCCTCTTTCTCGCACCTTCTGGTCGCCTGGTAACCTGCATTAACCTGAGGAGATCAGAGCCATGTTGAATAGCCCTCAAGAGTGGCCCGAGCCTATAATCCGCGTTCAATC